CTTCCCTGCTGCACCCACCCACCTTTCTGGTTGGTGTTGACATTTTTTTCCCCTCTTAATTAAAATGAGAATGAAGTCAAGGTACAAACTCAATCATTTGCTTTTCCCTCCTCCTGATGTAAAACTGCAGCTTTAGTAATTGCAGCAGGTGACTGATGGGAAAACAAAGTGTTTATTCCTGTGTGGATGTTATTTACCTGTGAAGTGGCCAGAGCAGTAGGGACGTTCTCTAACTTCTGTGTTTGTCTTTGAAAGTGAAATGACTTGAAGAAGCAAACCAGAACTTTTTCCTGGTTGAAAGGGTGCCTAGGCTTATGTACAGCCACAACAGGATATTAATAGAACATACTGCATTTCCTTCACATAAAAATACGAAGGGCACTTTGCTGAGAAAAAAATCCTGCTGTCCCTTTCTGTCTTTGGGACCAGCTCATCACCCAGCTAAAATTAAAACATGAAGTCAGGCAGTTCTTGCTCTCTATTTTTAAACTGCTTCAGCATATGAATGTGAGTGTGAAATCTTTCTTTAGGCCTCTCTTAACTTAATTACCTACTTATTCAAAATATTCTCTTCTCAAATTGCTGAGCTATAATTATATTAATCTTTTCTGTAGACACACTTTTGTTACTTGATGTTTGTTTAATTAGTTTTATGCTTAATTTGTAGTATTGTTGTTATTTACAGTGATGGAAACCTCATGGTAAGTGTTTAAAATCTATTTTGATATGTTAAAATTTAGCAAGTAGATAAGGTTTTTGTATATCTGTTCCATGTGTTCTTCTGGAAAATATAATGAGAAAGTGCACTTCAAAAAAAGGTATTCATATTAAATGAAAGGGAATGTCTTTTTATTATTTCATTTCTTTACATCTTTTGCTTTGTGCAAGCTTATTCCTATTTTATTTTGGTTTTATGTCTTTTCTTTGTGTGAAAGGGGTGATGTGATCCCAGAACAGGAGGTGCAGTGGAACTACTTATATACCATAGATGTGTAGCGTTTTTCTGCTGATTTAGATATACTGAATTCGTCCTGCATTTCAGTGAATTTGAAAAAAATCCGTGCAACTTCCTTTCAACTGAGCTGCCTCTTCTTGCCTGGAGCACTGCTGTTTTCCAGTGGCACAGTCTCAGCCTGCAGAGGGTGTGCTTCCTCCTGCAAACCCTCTGCTCCCATCTCAGCACCCATAACACCCTGTCCATGAACACGGTGTTCATGAGGTAACAAGGAAAAGGCTGTCTCTGTTCCCTGTGGCATTTGTCCCTTGACTTCGTTGACTTTCAGCTGTTTGAAGCACAGGCTGTGTGACTTATTCCCAACTGACCCCTGTCACTGGAGAGGACACTCCTGAGAGAACACAGCGCTTCTTTGCGTACTCATGTAACTGCTCTTGATCCTAACCAAAGTGGAAAATGGAAGAAACCTTCTCAATGTTTTCCTGGTTCATTTGCTTTTGTCAGTGGGGAGTAGCTGTGGTGTCAGAGATTTTGGGAAGAGTTTTCCCTGCAGTTTCCTGTGTCTGGCTAAGCAGTGAACAGGCTCCAATGCGCGGGGTCCTTTGTGTTCTGTCAGGTAGATGAAGTTGGGTGAGGTGATCGTTTTAAAAAACCTTCAACATCCACATACTCCTGCAGCAGCGTGTATATGGGAGTGTGTTTGCACTCCTACCCTCTAGAGCTGAATGAGTAAATGGCCTGCTACAAGCTGTCATTAGGGTGGCTGGTACCTGGGCATGGCAGTAAGCGTGATTACATTTGCCCAGCAAATCCCACTTTGGGATTCAGTCTGTTCTGACTGCGGGACTTTCACGCATCTTCTGCTTACCAGAAATACCGGAGATTTCATAGGTTTGGGTATTGGATGACAGCGCATTTCTGTCACGGGTGAGAAACATGTTGCTATTCACAGGGGTTAGAGTCAGTTTAGTTAGATAGCCAGACAGTGATGTTAAGTAACACAAACCTGGAGTCACAGTCTTTTGGACACGTCTTCCTGTGCCAATCTTGGTGCTTGGAACAGTTTGCCCATTAATTTGTTCCAAGCTTCCACCCCCTCCCTGCCCTCTCCAGAAAACCATTGGCAAGCCATCTCTTCCGTAAATCCTCCTGCCTTGGCTGGCTGCTGTCTCTCTGTTCGTGCTCTCCTGTACTGCTGCCCATTTTTTACTTCAGAATGAAAATTTGTCAGCACAAAGATTTATGTGAGCGTATTACATCCTGTAAAGAAATACTCAGACTGCTTATTCTTTGAGAAATGTAAAATTTAATTTTCAGACTTCAATACAGATGTGACATTCACCTAGACAATTAAAAAAATAATGATAATTACAGTAATAGATTGTCTTTTCTCCAACTGAGACTGTAGTCCAATGTTAAAAATGCCAAACTAATAGTACCTACAGAACTTCTGCTTCTGTCATCTTTGTCTGCACCTTCTGCTGCTGTTTAGCTTTCTAAACTGATTCGTTTTATATGTTTATTTTTGTAAATGAATCAGTGAAACACATGATTGACAAAAGCATCTTGGCAAAATCACTGGGTTTTAATGGTGTTCACATACTTCGGTGCTGGAAATGAAGCCTGAAAAATTTGTCCTCTGGAATGTTACATTATGTTTTGGCCACTGGAAATGAAGCACCTGACAGCATTAAGCTATCAGAAGGATTTCCAGTCATGGGCAAGCAGCCATTATGTATATGTTGATCCACAGTAGGAGATCTGGACAGCTTTTGATTTACTAGTGCTCATCTGTTCAATATGAGCTGGTGATCAGGACAGCAGTTACCTTCAACATTGACTGAAGAGTACTGAAAAGGAAAGGAGAATTCTATGCATGCAAGTCTAGAAGAATTGCTGATTAACCTTCTAGATTATCTTAAAAATGCACTTCTCAAGGTGGCAAAAAGAACTATTTTTGTAATATCTATGCCTGTTTAAAAATATCTTACCAGCTTTATCTTATTTTAAAGCAGACACTTTGAATTCTCTAATGTCCTTTTCAGTAGATGGGGTTAAACAACTGGAGAATTACCTCTTTTTTAGCAACTTGAGTATTTATCCATTTGTTTAAATGCTGCAGAGTTCAGATGAACAGATTTATTAGCTGAGCTAAATATTTGGTTTTTAAAAGACTATAAAAATTCTGACATTTTCTTCATATTTGGGCTTTAAATAGTTGTAATAGTAGACTTAATTTGAAGAATTTGAAACATCCTCCTTTTTATTCCAAAAATGGCCCATGAATTGTATTTGTTTAAGTGAGTAATAAAACTAAGGAGCCAGGTCATAAAGCACTTTTCACTGAAATGAATAAACATAATGGCAAAATTCCTGTCATGTGATCTGATAATGAAAGCAGACTTTCTTGTGTAGCATGTCGTGCAGGTGGAATAGAAAACATCTATACCAGTGTTAGTAATAGAGATGTGTGTAATACATTAACATTTTTATGTATGCGTGGTTTTTTGGGGTGTGTATGTTTGTTACTTATTATTACAGTTTTATTTTTGTAAGGAGCTCTTGTTTTAGAGATTATGCACAATTTTAGCTATTAATATTACTAACCTTTCCCGATGTATAAATACTCCTGGTCTCCCACACAGCTGCTGTGTCATCCAAAAAGGCCTGTGCTCCTTTCACCAGTCAGTTGTGTAAAATCAGTGTTGGAACAACGATGTATATGATAAACTACATTGTCCAAAAGATCACTTGGTTTCTTACCAAATTTCTGGGGCTGCCTGAGTCAAAGCATTGATATGGTGGAAACTGACTTTATATTTCTAGGCCATAATTTTAGAAACAAATGGCTTGCTTTTCTCCAATTGAGGTTTCAGGTTATTGCATGACCTGTCACATGACCTAACTTACAGTTACTTCTAGAAAGTACTCCTCCTATAGGTTTCACCACATTTGTGATAAATTTGTGACAAAGTTAGCCTGACCCGATTGTTTGAAGAGGTGGAGATCATGGAAGAGTTGAGATTGTTGTATCAGTGTGGCTTTGTATGGAGAGTGTGTGTGTGTTTTTTATATATATACACACACAGACATAGATATATATTCTTCAACTGTGGATAATCACTCTGTTGCACATCTCCTTAGGGATACTGAAGTTTTGGAAGTAAAATGGGAATGGCTGCCTGGGAAAGCCAATCCAGAGGTTTCATTTACTGAGCTCTCTGCAGGTTGCCCTGTTAAGGGCTTGGCTTTGTCTTACTGGAAAAAATATCTTAAGGAGCATGGTGGGATTTGTCAGCCCAGGGCTATTTGTAAAGGGGATTCACTGTGAAACTAAATTGCTGCATGCTGTTGACCCCTGTTGGCTTTCAGCCGTGGAACAAGTTTCACAGAAGTGGATGTAAGGGCTGTTGTGCAGCCTTTGCTTCACATGTCAGAAGCTGTGCTAGTCCCTTGCTGGCAAGGAGCAAGGCTGGCTTCTCTTGTAGTAAGAGCAAGCCCTGCAGCACGTGCATCCTGGGCCAGAAATAAGCTAGGATGCTGGACATTACTCCTGGGAGAAGTGGGTGACGCTAAAGGCGTCTCTACAAAACACAATGTCTGCTGAGCTGCTCTGTGGTGCATTCTTAGGGCAGCATTTCTCTTCAGCAGCTGACTGTGAGCAGTTTTTTCTGTCCATCAGCACAGGAGTAGTGGATAGACCAGGAATACCCTGTAGCCCCTGGGACTGCAGTGGCTCTGCCCACTGCCCGCCTGTCCCACCCACTCCCTGAGCTGTGACCCAGCTTTCTGTGTTGTTGTCTTATGCCATCACTCTTTAGAGTCTCTCTGTACACCTAACAGAGGGCACTGGGGAATGTTCAAATCACCTTGCTGGTCCTGGAAAGCTCACTATCCCAGTATGGATTCTCTGAGCTAACTAATCCATTGCAAGAATGGATTTAACAAGAAAACTTAGCAGTGGAGCTATGCATTGGTGCATAATTGGTTAAGGATATAAGCTGAAAATCGAGTTTGTACTTAGGTATGGTTTTTATTAAGAACAATATCCTACTTAGGATTTCAGTAACATATTTTACAGATCACTCTTCAGATGCTCTTTCTGGAACTCAAACAGTCGCGTTATAAATGAAGAACGGATTCAGGAGGCTTCACAGTATTAGTGATTATATTGTAATGCTTTCCAGATGGTAGGACATGATGTAATCCATACTGCCCAGTTTGTTTCACTGCACTGGATACTGTTATACTCAGTAAGTAACCAAGAGACTCTAAGAAGCTCATCAGGCTGTTATGAACAATAGCTGGTTAATCCATATGTTCTTTATTATGTTATGAAAACTGCAGATTAACAAATCACTTGGTGAATGCAGGAAGATTGATTGCTACTCAGAGCTCTTCGAGAACTGGATATGCAACTCGGATTAGCTTAGCTCAAGCTACACATTGGTGAATGAATTCCATTTTCCTCAGGGCTATGAAGTCGTTTGCATCTGTTCAATTGCAAATTCCCCTAGCTGCAGTGGGTAGTTTTGATTCCTCTTCGGAGAAATGGCAGGAATGTTGATTTGTTGCTGTTTACATTGATCTGAAATAAAATCACAGCATTAGCATCGCTGGTTGTGTGGGCATGGTAGCTAAGGTCAAATTAATTGCAGCTTGCAGTTGCTCATAATTCTGCCAGTGTTCGTGCAGTAATGTTGTTTACTAACTGGTGCTTTTATTAGGCTGACAGACCATCATTTGAATGGCAAACCCATCAAATTTAAGTAGGCACTTAACTCAGGATTTTCTCAGCATTAATTGAAGGCGCCAGGGGTACTGTGCTGGGACAGGTGCAGTGTTGCTGTGAAGAGGGAGTACATGGGGAAGGAAAACTCCCTGTGCATCCTGACATTCAGCTGTGTAGTTTCTCACTCGAACCCACATACAAGAAGTGTTCAAGGGAGATTAGGGCTGGGGTAGGAGGTTTCAGTTTGTTGGCAGTTATCCTGTAGAGTGGGTTTTGTAGGCACTTCTTTAGGCTATCCTACCCTTTGGTTAAATCCAGAAAAATGGGATGGAGAGAAGAATAGCAAGAGACAAAAATATATGATTTTAACTAGTTTCTGGAAACAAGAAAATTTCCTGATGTGAGTTTAGTATCTTTTGGTTGTCTAAATATCCATAGATCATCTGCCCAAAATTTGCCATTGGCAGGCTCAGATCACTGGGTTAGTTGGTCTGATCTGGCATAACACTTTCTACCCTGTCTGTAGGTTCTCAGGCAAGGAGGGTTGGAGCAGGAGCTGAGAAACACCAGAAAGAAGAGCAGTTTCCAGCACAGTTGTTTTTTTAATGGTTGTGTGATGCTGTTTTACCCAGTGACTCCCTCATCTGGTTTTTATCATGCATGGCATTGATTAACTGGTATTTGTTTTTATTTTTCCTTTATCAAGTCTCTGGGGAATTCCACAGTTCAGTGTCAGACCAACGCCTTGTAGGGAAGGATGGAAAGAGGAGAGGTTTGCATGATGCACGTGTCTCATTTTACAGTTTCCTGATGATTTTCAGTTTGGCTGCCTGTAAGGAGCATTTGTTGTTTGTAATCACTCAGCCAGGCTTGTTTATTGACTTAGGTTGTCTTTGCTTACTGCAGTGTTGCTGGTGATTGAAGTGCTTTGCCATCCTGATTTCTTCAGCTTGTCCTCTGAAACAAAATTAATGACAGTGGCTTTTGGAAACTGAAGGGTAGCAGAGACCTATTTACAGTTTTCATTAAATGTTCCTCCAAGCCCAGGGGAAGAGCTGTGATGCTCAGTTTCATGTAACCTCTTTGCTTCTTTTTGCAAAGAGTTTGTGGTGAATGGGCTCACCAGTGATTTAAGGGCTGAGAGAGGGGACAGAGGTGGGACAAGCTCTTGAAAGGATGCTGTTTTCCTGCCCTCCTCCCTTTCCTCCTCTGCTCCTCAGCAGCTTTTTCATCAGGTTTTTTCCCACTCAAAATCTTTTTAGTCTTCCTGATGTCCTGCTATGTCCAGATCTGCAATATTCCTAGTTTCTTCTCCTTTATGAAGCCTTCTTTGATTTTAGTTTTGGTGGTTTTGTTTTTTTTTTTTTTTTTGTGTAATAATTGGCTGCTTCTTCCTCAACAGCTGAATCTTGTATATAAAGCACAAAGTAGAAATATCTATTGCTTCTTCCTGTTTGTAAGAAATGCCATAGAGAACCACAGCAGACTGGACACCTGGAAGAGTTTTTGCACAGAAATCCAGCCCACTGAATTGGTTTAAGATGGTAGGAATACAAATTCAACATTTGTTTGACTGAGAGAGACCAGAGATTTTCAGACTTGATAGAAAGACAAAACTTTATGTTCTGGAAATGTATCTAAAGCCTGAAATTTATCTAAAGCCTGAAAATGCTCTATTAACAGCAGCTTTCTAGCATAACATGGTCTCCTCAAAAAAGAAAAAAATTACTTTCTTGATCAAGGGGGGAACAACTGTAAAAGACATTACCTTCCTGAGGAGGAGTAGCGAACCTTCTGTGATTCTAGGAACTCTTTGCTGTATTTTAAAGAGGCTATAAACTGAGTGGGGATCCTTCCTGGGAGGGTTGTTGGTGTGCAGAGCGCTGCTGTAAGCATAGATTTTGTGTTGGCTCAGCGCACAGACTGCAGGGCTCGCAGCCGTAAGCGCAAAAGGTCAGGATCGCATTTAGCCCATAACTATCAACTCTGTGATACACTATTAGTCATAGAAACTTGAGAAATTTGTTAGATACCCTGAGTTTGATTTGGATATCTCAGGACAGTTTTTAAAATTCCATCGCAGTTTAAGGTGGTACTGCAGTAGGAAAATCAGTTGATCAAAAGACATTGTTTTTAAAAGATTTTACCTCTCTTCTGCTTTTTGTGAATTTACCATCATGTTCTAATTTTAAGAGAAAAAAATTATATTTCAGTATAAAAGCTGTCTGTCTAGAAGTAAATTCTTTAGGCATAATATGGTTAAAATACTTCCATGCATCTATTCAGTTGCAGCAGTAGTACAGGATCATTTTAGCACAAATTGGTTAAAAAGTTATTCAGATAAAATTGAGATTTTTTTTTAATGATGTAGATGTTCCTTTAACATTCTTAACTACATTTTTCTTCCCACCTCAGCTCTCAATTTCTAATTAACCCAAATCAGGCAATTTTTGTTAATCAGTAGTTCGGCGCCGTATTTTGTCGTTGTTTCTTAGGAGCTGTGTTTATCTAAATCCGCCATGTCAAACTGTAACTTTTATAAGAAAGCTGCAGAGCAAACCATAAACCATTTATCCTGCATAAATCACTTCAGTCATTAAACATCAGGCTGTGCATATTAACCTTGCCCTTTTTCTGTTTAAAAGGGGAGGCTTTTATGAAGCAATCACAGGACATGGTCTTTTGTTCTACTTACAGAAAAAAACTTTTTTTGGCAGAAATTACAGAAGAGGATATCAAACTGTATTGTTTATTTATTTCCCATTGATAAAATATAAGGTCATCAAAACAATAACCATCCAGAAGTGCTGTCCTATGCAGAGACTCTTTTGACTAGGTTATGGGAGTGATGTACAACTGCTGTGTGATGCTGTTTTAAATGGTTGTGTTTGCTGGGCCAAGCAAAATGGAAAATCACTTAAGTTTATCCATCGGTCAACAGTAACATGCTGTGGCACATCAGGCAATTTTATTGTAATTAAATATTTTCTATTTAGATGTAACAAAATAATGTCTCACATATGTTCATATTGTATCTCGTTCTTGCTTACTCTATCAGTGTATTTCTTCCCTCCAAGACAACTGCAGAAATGTCCCATTTTTGTGCTTGTTCTCTAGGTATCTGCAGCACAGAAGGTGAAATGATTAGCTCAAGAAGCCAATACTTTATGAGTAAATTTTAAATTGTTTCCCATTCTTGGATATATATGTAGTACAGAAGGAGAACACGTTTTTATTTGTATCCCATCAAGAAGACTGTGTGTCACTGAAAACACCCTCTTCCAAAAGCCGGAGTTAATTTTTCAAGCAAAAGAAATTCCTGTGGGGTTAGAATCTCCGATTGGAGACAGGCAGGTCAAATTCTTGATCCCTTCTAAACGAAATGTATATAATGTTTAGCTTAGAATTTATTTTCATTCATATAATGAAAGCTATTTAGTCATGTCTGAATCTCCTTAGTGGTATTTTGAATTATTTTTTAGAGTATATACAGAAAAAACTTTTTTTTACCTTTTTTTTTTTTTTTTTTTTTTTTACATTAAATGACTATTCATTTTTAGCTTAGGCTTGGATATAATTCATTAATTTATTTTAGTTCAAATTTGTGAATACAAATTTTTACATAAGAGGAAGTCATCTTCAAGAACAAATGTAATTGAATAATGTTAATTTCATTGGTTTAGTGGGTGTTCTGTTCTATACACTGATACTTTGTCAAATGTGATTAGTTAAATACTAGTTAATAATACCTGTGCTTTCAGTTACTATTTACACATGATTTCCCCCCTTGATTTAGTGAAATTTTTGTTCTCTTTGCAACTATTCAATGTCTTAGAATTCCATTATACCTAAAGATTTTGAAAGGCAAATATTAATTATTTTCTGGAGCTTTCTGATCTTGAATTTAAAACACATTATGAAATTTATGCTTGTGTATATTATTGGAAAACAACGTTTCAGTACTCAGTCTATAGAACAGACGATTTTAGAATATATGATTATAAATAAAAGCAAAGATTTTCCTTAAAAAAGAAGAAAAAAGTTTCTTATGCAAGAGAGCCTTCCACTGGAAAATGTTTTTTTCTTCTGTCGGTTTGCAAGGAAATCTGCATGTCGCAGCTAAAATGCATCCCAACACCTTTTTATTAATCAAACTGCATATATCAGAATCTGGTTTATTTAATTTTGTTACTAAATTATAAAATTCTGTAGTGGAGAAAGTGTGGATCCAAAATCTGCCTAGATAAAATTAATTTGTAATTGGGAGCACCTAGTGGAACCTGGCAGATAATCTTGTTCAATGCATTTACTAGGTCCTTCATCTACAAACTCTAGTTTACATTAACTTACAGATTGTCCTGACCTTAAGTTCTGTTTCAAGCAGCCTGTTCCCCTTCAAAAGATAAATTTTCCATAGGCCAGTGCTTATCTGCCTGGCTTCCTGGCTGACTGGGATTTAAGCTATACTGGCTTGGACAACACAAGCAGTTGAACCGTGTGAACTCACATGAGTGCTCAGCAAGAACATGGGGAATTACTGAGTTTTTATCAGAGGAAAGCAGACAAAATTTTATAAGAGGAGAAACGCAAAAACAAAGATAATGAATCAGAAAAGGTAGTGTATTCATTTGCCTTGATGATATTGGTTTCTTTAAATTGCTTAGAATAACATTTGGTAGTTAATGCTATTTTTTCCTTGGTAGATAAGAAGGAGAACACATTGTATCTCACTGTGTGTGTGGCTAGCCAATCTTTTGTTAAGCATTTGTGCCTACAGTGTGGGATATTGTGTTGAGTAAAAAAGGCAGAGGGTGGTCTATGGTGTTTTGATTTTAATTTTCAGTGGAACAGGTTAGTGGTGGCTTGGTGAAGACATCTATTTAAAGCATAATGTACAAGAGAAAGGACTTCAGGGTATGATTTATTTTTCTTAATTGCTTCTGTTGCTCTTGAAAAACATGCTTTTTAATAAATATCATTCAGAGTTGTTCCCAAATGATTCCACAGCAGATATGGGTGCTGTTTTTCTGAAGTGCCTAATGTGGTTTGCAAAACAACTAAGAATGAGGTAACTGTGGAAATGTTCTCTGCTGCTTTCAGATGCAGACAGTCTATTTTTGACCTGGAGACCAATATCAAGCTCTGGGTTTTTGTTAGGTCAAGGGGGTGGGCACAGAAGCCCTTATCTCTTTTTTCCTTTGTTGACAACATACCCTTATCCTTCCTGGGTCTGCTTGATAGGGCTGGCATTTAAAATACCTAGATAGGAGAAGTTATAAACTTTTCTCTATTTTTAAGGATGTTCATTAAAGTCTCTAGCAAGGCTCAATGAGCTGCAGGGCTGTGGGAGAACACTGCTAGTGAGATCAGGAAGCCATAGGAAGCCGTGCTTCCTTAAACAGAGATCTGTTAAAAGTATGAATTAGTGTAAACAGTTTGGAAGTATAAAAAATTTTACAAACATCTTTCAAAGTGTATTTTTCTGGTGCATTTGGGATTTTTTTAAAATTAAGCAGCTAATTCCTGTTAATTCCTTTCTAAAATGGACCACTGCAATTACATCATGTTTTATTCAAGGAGAAGTTATTTGCGTGCATTTTTTAAAAGATTTTTTGTTAGATAAGTGGTAAAAATTTAATATACGCCCTCATAAAGGTAATGCATTGAAGGAAGCTTTAGAAGGAGCACATCAAATTCTGTGCAGACTGTTAGAATACATAAAAAAGTGCTTAGTCGGTGCTGGAGTGTGGTAGTGGGCCCATTCACTCACCTTATGTTAAATGATGGGTTTTGTTTAACCATTTAGTGTTTTGGCTTGACACTGCCCCCGCCCCAAATTCTTGGACCCTGCAGTGCTGAAAGAGCAAAGCAGCTTAACTGCAGAGTTGCTACTCTGTCTCTGGTTGTGGGTTAATAACAAAGAATTATATCTCTGAGAAACTTTATGTTTTTATTGGCTTTATTTTGGTTGGTATTTAAAAACATAGAATAATGTAAATAAACTGTAACTGCGAAAATTTATTTTTTATTTTTATCTATAAATAATGCACAAGAAGAAAATCACATAAGAGACTGTGCATTGTTATTACTATGGATAAGTATAGGTAGTTTTGGCAAAGTGATAGTTTTTTCTCTGTTTTCAGTATCTTACATATTATAACAACTTCTTTTACTGGAAGGAAAGGGGCAAAGACAAGAAACAATTTATTCAATATAGACATTTAACTGGTGAATGGTTCCCTATCTAAAGACACATTTGCAAAATTTAAGCAGAACTTTGAAAGCAGAAGTGAAAATTCATGAACTTCTGTGTTAACAGAAAACCAAATGTTCTTTGTGTGTATTCAGACTGTATAAAAATGTAATTATTAATAATCACTAAGTTGCCTTTGTCTCTTCAACTTAATCATACCATGGCAAATACATTACAGGAACATTTTCCTCATGATAAATACAGGATACACTTTTCAGGAGTTGTGGAGGTTATTTTATGCCAGTTTTTGACGTGCCTACCAACATGAGCAATTCTTGTGTGATTGGCAATAGCAGTAAATTATACCTGGAAAAGAAAATTAAGGTGACAGATAATATATATTTGAGCTTGTGTTAGTGAAGCCTTGCAGAAACTACTATTTAACATTTGCATCTATATGATTTTATTAGTCAATGGGCGAAAATCTCTGTATGAGGGCAAAATACTGCTGTGAACAAAGGAAAACTGAAGTTCTTCCAAAATGAGTTCTTAATCAGACCAAACACAGTTATCAAAGAGGCAGTTCACACAGTCCAGTAGTGCGTGTATAAGGTCTTCTCTGAACATCTTCAATGTATTAACTGCTTTCTGTCTAAATGGTATTTATTTGCAATATTAATCTCATGGACTGGGGCGAACTATTTTAAAATAGTTAGAACAAGTTTTATAAAATCTCACTCAGAGTATTTTTGTACCGAATGAAAAAAAAGTGCTGCAAGTTGGTATTCAGTAAGTTTAAAAAGTAACTATAAGAGCTGAACAGATATTTCCTTGATATCATACTTCTTACTTATGTCACTATAGATAATTTCTGAGTGTCAGGTGAAAAACAGAAGTTAAATTGAAATTACAGAATAAATCATAGGCTAATTATGTCTCTGTTGTTCCCGATGCAACAGAGGTCATATCCTTCAGGAGAAATTTGTTGGTGTATGTTATTAATTACTATTACAATAAATGGTTTCTGTTGCTGTCATCCCCACAAGTGATACTCCTATATTAACTACGAACAATCCTAATTATTAACTAAAAAATCTGAATTAGACAACGTGGTCTCTCTTTGTCCTGGGAGTTTGTAAATCTGACTACACAGATTTGTGAAATGCTCTTACAAAAAATTACAAATGTAGCAGTTTAGGCTGCTCTGAAGCACTCCCATATCCTATGGACTGTAAACGTAGACTAATCCCCAGTGACTCCTAGGACTAGATGAGTAGATACAAAAGTGTTTACCTCTTAAATAACTGTACTGTCGGTTTTTTCGGTGGATTGTACGCGGCCCCTGGTTAGAGATCTGTGGAGTTGCCGTATGAAAGTGTCAACGATTTTTAGTGTCATTCACCCATCTTGCAACTGTCAAAAAATGAAAAAAAATTTAGAAGGAAAAAAAAAATAGCACAAAAAAATGAACTGTGGTAAGAATGAGCTGCTTTGTCTCAGCCAGGTCCTCTCCACCTCTGCAGTTGGAGAATTGGGATTGTTTGTTTAAACCACCTATCTTGAAGGATTTAAACAGCCAAAATATTCTGCTTGACTAGTAGAAATGGCTTAACATCTGCAACACATTGGTATTTTTTATGTTAAAATTTGTCATGGTGACTTTTAAAATTTTCCAAACTCCAGCTTTCAGGCTCTTCATGTATCAAACAGGTAATACAAGTCAGTAGAGTATCAGAAACAGATTCCTTCAGTGGTATTTTGCTGTCCTTTACTTGGCGTTTGCTTTCTAAAGCAATGACCTGTGTGTTTTTATTTTAGCTAGATCTTACTTCTGGTCTTCAATATGGCTTGAGTAAAATGCTTCCTAGTAAATGGAGTGGCAAAGAAAACTCGTAATCTTGCCGCTGTTGCAGTGTTGTGTGACTGAAAACTGGAGCTGCTAAACTGCAGCAAAACTTTTCAGTACTGGCAGTGACCTGCTGTGTACAGGACTGGGAGCATACCTGTGAAGGAGTTTAAACTGCAAATTACTAATTTGCATAATATACAAAATACCTCATTGATGTGACATGAAATTTGTTTATCTCAAATACTCCAAAGCCATTGTTAATGTACATTTAATCAAATCAGAATGGAATTGTATTCTGTAGGAATAATTAGTTCTGGAACAGTTCTTTCCATGTGTACTTAAAAAGTGCCTTTTTACTCAGTGCATATATTATAGGCATATAACTAAGCAAATCATGCTGTTTTAGAACTCCAATAAATTACCAAATTATCTAATAAGTTATACCAATAAATATATCCTGCCTTATTACCCTCAAAGAGCAGGAAGCACTATGAACCTTTCAGTTTCAGGAGCATGAAAATACATTTTTTATTCCTTTTATTATCTTCATCATATCTCTCAGTGAGATTGTACCAAAAATTAATATTTTAGAGACTCCTGTTCAAATCTCTCAGAATTTTAGTTTTATGCAAAGTTTCCAAAATCAGTTGGCTTGAGTTTTCTGTATTACTCATTAGTCTCTCTGGAGCGTGAAAATTTCTATTTTAGAATTAGCACTTCTTTCTCTGAATCTTTGCTTCAGGAAACCTCCCAGGGAATCCTCTGCATGCTATCTGGTATCTAAGCAAAATAGGTGTTAATATCCAGTATTAAGATTGGTTAGAGAACCAGCAGAGGGAATAAATTTCTCAATAAAATGACTAAAGAAAGAATGGGAATGTTGGCTTTGTGGCACAGGAAAACTATCTCATTGCATTCAATTAGTGATTTCAAATACTCCTTTATGAGTAGATGGCATGAGACATAAAGCCCAAGGCAAATTAATTTTCATCAGTAGATCTTCAGTCCTAGAGATGTTATTCATGAAAATTTGTTCACTTGTATTTTTGGGCTTAAGAGAAAAACAAAACAAAAAGCACCTTAAAATGAGCCAACTGTCAAAGCTGTGGAGATGTTGGTAACCTTGACCACTCTCACAGAGAAGTGCCCCCTAAAGAGCCAATGGAATTAACAATTTTCCTTCCTTCATGACAACTGGGACAGAGAAACCCAGTTTTCTTTAGCGGGAACGCTTGGACGCCCTCCAGTCAAATGGGAACAAAGAGTTGTCTGTCAGGGTCCAGGGAGCCCCCACATCTGCTCTTTAAACAGGATGTGGGGAAGGGTAAAATCCTCTCCATTTGTGACGCTAACATGGCTTTGAGAACACCTGGAATTACAGGAGCCAGCGTTTGAATCTGGAGCTGATTTCTGATGGACTAAATCTCTTTAGAGGCCAGGTTTCTGTGTTGTGTGGGAGACTGGAGTTCAGGCAGATTTTCCACTGAAGGTCCTGAACCCTAAATTCCAAACCCAGCCCTCCCTTGGAAAACTGTAAAATAATTTAAACAAATAACTTCTGGGAGAGTGTTTAGCCTGATTCTAGGTTTTATTTTAAAAAAGCCCTCAAAACAAATGATAAAACCAAATAATAAACAAGCAAAATCTTTGAGTAGTTTTTACTGCATTTCATTGTACACTCAGAATTTTGTAAGCAAAATCAAATTTATGCTTTTCTTTTTTTTTGGATTGCTTTCTGGTTTAGTTGATTTAATTTGTGTGAATGTTCAGTGAAGCAGAGAACATTAAATACATAATCAGGTTGTTTAAGGAAGTTCTTTCTATACTTGAAAGAGTGCTAAAAAATACCTGTGCATCTTCAGTACAGCATGAAAGTGTTTCCCCTGATCAATGTGCAGTGAAAATGGCCCAAGTACATCATATTAGCAGTCAGCTTTTAGCAGAATGTATTTCAACAGTTTCTAAGATAAATGGCTAGTTAATAAAAGGAAGAAATATTTTGGTGGACAATTTGTATTTCTATACTTCTTCATATTAATTCATCTGCCTCTGTTTCAAAATAATATGCTGTCAGAGAATGCTGTCAAAATTTTACACAAGTAGTGCTATTTACTTTTATTAGATTCAGTTTTGGTTTTTGTGTATCATGTCAAAAAGATTTGTTGGGTATGTATTATTTTGTTTGTTTCATTTGCAATGGGGAAGCCATAAATGGGCTACTATGGCCTGACTCTGAACACTGCTAGATTTAAGGAATAGTTGTTAGAAAATTTGTCTGGAAACTTATAAAAACTCTACTTTCTATTTAAAAGACTTTTTAAAAATAAGTGGTCTAATTGCCTGCATACTAAGTAATAATATAAAATAAATTTTAATATAAAAATGAAGACTCTGCTTCAGAATACATGTTGCAGTGAATTTTACAAAACAGTTATAATAAAAAAATGTGTTACAGTCATCTTTATTTCTGGAATTTTAAAGTTTGTAGGAAAGCTCTGAAAGTGAAGGGTTGACAACCATAATTGAAATTGTGTTACTGAATAGTAGATAAGTACATTAATGACTGCTTTTTGTATTCATTCATCATCATATATGATAGCATATAATCTTAAAAGTATATCAACTTGTTTTTGATGTTTCTAGTATTGGAAAAACCCTGCAATTAAGGGGGTGATGCAGTACTTGTTGAGGGGCAGTTGAGTGTGTTTATTCTTGCTGTTTCATTTTTATGGCAAATCCCAAAATTTAAGAATGATCATGGGTATTTCAATCGTCTGAGTTTCTGCTGGTTTTCTTGAGTACAAGTCTCATTGTTGTGCTCAGAGTATTAAAATTTGTTTGTATTCAGCTTTGGTTACTAAGAATGAATGTTCAATTTCATCTGTTGTCTAATTGTCGTCTTAAAAAAATCTTTAAGAAGGCACAAGCTACAAAAGAGTTAATGCCTTAGATGGGTTTGTTACATCCTTCTTAACAGAGAGGTCTATAAAATACTGAAACTATAACACTGGACATATCATAAGTTCAAATAAAAATAATGATAAGATTGTTTGAAGGATTAGTTTCAAAACGAAAAAAATAAAGAATATTTTAAATGTAAAATGTCAGGCACTGGAAGGAAAATCCTGGTGGCAGCACTGGTGTTAATCTGGCTGGTTCACAGTTTGCCTTCACTCTTTCTTCTGACAGTCTTAATGCCATGTAATCCTTCATAATCTAAAACTGGCTATGAACTTCCTTTTGCTGTGAAATGAAATATCACCTAGAGGTAAAAAGAAAAGAAAGACTAACAGTTATAAACCAAAAACCCAATGTAAATAACAGATGTTTTTCTAATTACTTGGGAGCAAGTATCATAGTTGCTATATCTTTTAGAATAATTTCCCATTACTATGCAGCTGGCAATCTCTTCCACATTTAAGAAATTTGTTTTTCTGAACTGCTGTTCTGAAATGATTGAGTTGCACATACAGCTAGAAGCTGCTATGCTGTTGGCTGGTTGGAATAAAGTACAATGAAAATAATCCTAGGTGTTTGCTGTTGTAGGAAAATCTCATTTAAAACATCTCATTCTTTGTGAATGCTGTAATAGGAATTTTTCTTATGTTAGAAACTTGTTTTTAAAAAATAGTAATACCTAGCTTGAATTGATGTTTTGTTATCTTTTTCAATTAGGTATTTTTAAATTATTTTTTTTAGTAAATTTTAAGTATATTTCCAAGAAGGACAGTGTAAGGAAAGTATAGCAAATATGAAGGACCATTGATTGGTAATAAGGGAAAAATAATATGTAAGAGTAGTTAAAATGTTGCATAATTTCTGTTTCTCAGAAGTTAATATATGTGTGTCAATACTGGCAATGAAGAAATGTTCTTGAAACCCTCACTGAGCTCAGAAAGTTCTGTGCTGTCCAGAGTGCGCAGGGAACAAGTGCAAAAACATTCTCATGTTATAGTTAAATATCAGTGTACTACGAAGATTGAATAATATAAGCTTTTTGTGTCAGAAGATTATTTGATATGTTTGGCATTCTATTTTTGTGGGGGATATATACGTATAATAGATCATTACATAAATAATTTTAATTACTACTAGTCCACGTTATAATAGAGAAGTCAACTAATGGTTATGCTTAACTATTACAGTAAGTTTAAGGGTGCATTTTAAAATTTTTAAGGATACGAATTTATTTTTCTTTGCATGTGTTTAAATATCCTGAAAGTAGATTAGTTTTTGTTCAGTTGTATAACTGTACTTTATCGATCCATTTCTATTCTTCTACCTTAAAGTGTTTGCCAAACAAAAATTATCGTAGTGTGTTATCCACACACTTGAAAACAAACTGGAAATAAAGAGCAGTCATGTATATTATGAATTCCCTGTCTAGAAACACACATATCATGCAGTCTCTTCTTTCTTTTTTCTTTGAGTGTAGAAGGCTTGAAACTAACTGTTTTTTTAAAAAAATAAAGTTTATATTAGATTGCTTTCAATTTTTATGTCCAAACCAACTATCAGTGCTTTCTTTTCAAGTACTTTTAAGGAACATGCAAAATAAAAACACCTGACAATTATTTTGTAACTCCTGTAAGATCTGTAAAAAGTAATGGAATATAGGGCAGATGAAATTACAGACATCGCAGTAACCTACCATGATACTGCAAAAATGAATTAAAAATGTAGTAACTAAGTGAAAGCACGAGGACGTTATGTTTCCCACGATATGTAGGGCGGGAGCAGCCTGTCGGTGCTAGGACAGGAGCGGGCATTTGCGGCAGAGCTGCGGAATCACGCACCTGGCTCAGCCGCGGGCGCTGCTCGCCCCTGGCTCCGCGCTGCCGGCGGGACGGGCGGGACAGACGGGACAGGCGGGACAGACAGACGGGACAGGCGGGACAGGCAGGCGGGACAGGCAGGCGGGACAGACGGGACAGACGGGACAGGCGGCGCTCCGCGCTGCCGGCGGGACAGGCGGGACAGGCGGGACGGGACAGGCGGGCGTCCCGCGGCCACCTCGGGGCCAGGGCTGCCCCCCTCGGTACCGCCACGGCACCCAGAGCTCCCCGTGCCGTCCCCCTGCCGCATCTGACAGCGCTGGGTGCCTCCACCTCAAAGACTTTGTCAAGGATTAGAGGGCTTTAGCAGGGGTTCTGTGGTTTCATTGCCCCGAGCGCTGGAAAATGCAGTTGCAGCTTACACGGGTAGAGGTTACAATCGGTTTTGAAAAATGAGCTACTAGAGGTCCCCATTACACTGTGGATTAAATAATGTGAGTTGAGGCACCGAAAAAAACAAAATTAAGGTGGAGAGAACAAAGGGGAGGAATAACACTGACAAGTAAACTGGCACATGGGCTACTTCTGGAAGTACTTGGGTTGCCTTGACACAAAAGTAAATATCTTAATAGTTTTTTGCCAGTTATATTTGGCTAGTGGTAAGGCTCTGGAATATCTTGCTTCATTTTAAATTTACATGTTAATTAAAAATGGAATGTATCATTCATACACATTCCATGTGTATGAACTGGGATACTCTCTGAGTGCAGTTTAAAAGATCAGTATTATAATTTAAGCCATAGAAAACACAGATGCAGAGAACATAAATAAGATTGCACATGTTTTAGCCATTCCATATCATGAACTGTTTAATTATCCTTCTTTGCTTGTAATTGAATATAGCCAAACCAGGCTTGTGTTTATGAACAGCAATGGGTGATATTTCTTACAAGGTTTCTTTATGAGATTGCCGTCTTAACTGACACTCTTGACCAAAAGTCATTTTATTACCTTTAAGCCTGTCAAGATCAGTAGGTGATTCTTTTTTCACAGCTTGATATCAGATGAGACTAGTGTGGCACATGGAAATATTATTTGTGCTAAGATGTAAATGATTAAGTTTTATAGCAGAGAGTTAAGAAAGCTTGCAGCTTTTTCTTTTTAAATGGGCATGAAAAGCATTGATGTGCGTCATCAATGGTAATAGTCATGTCTAAGGAAAAAGCACCTGCCAGGAAACTTCAAGGGGCAGGGAAAGACTGTCTGTGTTCACACCATGGCTTTTAGTGTAAAGCCCAGTTGGAAGTATGATCTTGGATGTTTTTGTTGACATCTGCACAGCAAGCTGATATGTCCGATTTGTATTCCCAGTGAATAAACATCTGTAGCACCAAGCATGCCTGTTGTTCTCAGCAAACGGAGACTGCATTACTTTAACTGCTGGAAGAAGTCAGCATTACCATGGTGTGGGAGCTACACGTGTTTACTTTATCCAGTTCTGGCTGTGTTGCTGTTGCTTGGTGCATCAGTAGGATGAGGGTGGTTGGGATGGCTGTATTTTCCAGTAGTCTGAAGACCTCTGGATTTCAGCTTTCTTGACAACTGGGATTATATGTGGCTTTTGGTGGCCTTCTCAAGCTGCTCAAATGGCCATATTTTGCTGTGAGTTTGGCCATCTTGATCATTAGAAAGTGTTGGACGGAAAGAAAATATGAAATAGGGGTGAAATTCAATGTCAGAATTGCGTCAACATGTTTACTAGTAATTAAGAATGACACTTCAGAAATAACCATCCCCCAAAACAGGCTTGCCATCACAAACAAGAAAATAAAATATCACTTTTCTTGAAGTTCACTACATGGAAGCAACATACAGGGTTTTATGTGCATTTTTCAGTTTGGGGAGGAGCTAGGTTTTTTCAGGCCAGTGTTAGGCTGGAGAGAAGTTTTCAAAGAGGTCACCAAGCTGTTGGAAGAATTACTCTGACATTGCTGCAGTTAGTGGGTTTGTCATGTTGGGGCACTGGAGTGACATTGAGGCTGGTTGATCTCTTCCAGAAACATCTGAACTCTGAGAATAAGTTTAGAGGTGATTATAGTACACTGTATCATTTACATAACTTATCTATCAGTAACACTTCCCATATTGTCAAGTGTGTGTGTTTATATATATGCCTGCTGAAAGGATTGGTTCAAAGGATAAACTCTGACAGTGATGTGGACTCTATTTGACCTTGTCAAAAGGTAAGTACCTCCTCTTTGCTTGTACTGCTTTTCATAAAAGAAAAACTAAATGCCTGCATGAGCCATTTCTTCTTCCCCTACACAGACTATGCAGGACATGTAAGAAAAAGGAGCAAGTCTGATTATAACCCTTGAGCTTTTGATGACAATCTATTTTAGTTTTGGTTTCTCAGCATTTTACGTTGTTAAAGACTTGACTCGAGTTTAGGATAAAGGACTGAAATAACAGGGATTTGGGTCACTGTTGATAGTCAGCAATGTCTGAAGTGTGGCTTTTCACCAGTTTTCATGCTATATTAATCACAAAGTTTGAGAGCAGTGGTGGGACCTGTCTCCTTGCCATCAGTCCTCAGCCTGTGTGCCGGATGTGTCAGCACAATGCCGCTGGCAGATGGAAGAGTTGCAGTAAATATGCCCAGTTATGGTTTAAGTGAAAAAGCTGTGGGAAAGGAAATACATTAATCCACTGCGGCTGTTTTTGCTTTTATGTAAGCCTCTGTAATAAATTGTGAGTTTTTCCTGGACTTAACCCTTCAAATTTCTAGATTCCTTTCTTGATTGGAGGAGGGAGTAGAGTAAAAATTGAACTATAGCATTAAAAACCTCCCAAAAACCAGAAGCAACAGGAAATTAATTGGGTTGTGCAGATGGAAAGAAGTCCTCTTCCATGTGGCCATTTTCTTAAGCACACTTCAGGAAATCTTGATGTAACAGATCATAAAATGCACTCTTGCATACAAGTGCATTGTTTGTTTTGGTACTGTTGTGGAAGTGATGTTTAGGAAGTGCTTTAAAGCCAGAAAAGATCACATCCCTGAATCTGGGAAGAGATAAAATTGATGAACAATTGAGTACAAACTTGATATTTGAAAGTATACTAATGTTTGGTCTTTTAACTCTTTGGGGTTTTCATACTTTCTTCCTACATAATCAGGAATTTCACTGAGTGTATCTGATTCTCTTTCTTTGATATTTGCAGTTTTAATAACATTTAGCACATAATTGCTCAGGCCGAAAAGGAGAGGACATTGACAATTTTACAAAACTTTTTTAAATTCAAAAGTATTAATATAGTTTTGTGTCTCAGACACCTAATTTTTGTTTTGATTCTTATGTCATCATCTTGTTATTTTTTTCAGTCACTACAATTTTTATATCCTGAAAGAACCTGGTATGCTAAGAAGGAAATTCCATGTGCCACACAAATTTGGAGGAAAATAGCTTTTCCTGTCCCATTTCCCCTTCTCCACTTGTTGTAAATCACCTTTGAGGTACATGAAATCTTTATTCCTTACTTTTACATTGACCCCTGCCCAGTGTGGCAGCAGTGCAGGATACCACGGTCGCTGTTCCAGTGCAGGGTCTCCAGTGTCTCCAGAGGGTTCTGCGGGAGGGGTTTGGGCTCCTGCTCTCTGCAGATGCCACAGCTGCTGTTGTGGCATGTGACATGGCTGGTTTGCCTGTTTGATGTTGGTGTGGGTGTTCCTGCAAGGGCTGGTGACAAGTGGCTGTGCACGGAGGACATGGGTGGCAGGAGCCTAAGCTTTCTCTGCAGAAGTGCTGCTAACATGGAATAAAATGCCTGCTCAAAAAGGGGTAGGAGCGGCAGAGGTCGGCACTGATCCAAGCCTAATGTATCTCTGCAAGCTGTGCCAGTTGCTTTTGGTACTTGTTGGGATGGATGAAGCTGTGGGCAGAGCTCTGTGTTGTTACATCTCAACCCATTTCTTGTGCTCAAGCCAGTTTATTTTAAGCTATCTTGAAATATCTCTATGCTGCACCATAGTGGGTAATGTATGCAAAGTCATGCATCTCAGTGCTATCAGTTGCAAATTACTCTCCTGTCACATGGAAACCTTACAAGGAAAAAAAGATAAACAGATGTAAATAGTGTAAGATTCAAATTAAACTGTTGCTGACTTTTAAATACTGCTCTCTTGCTTTCCAGAAACTTTTGTGGAAGCTGGAAATACTCTAGGAAAAGGTGGCACCTAAGGACACTTCTGAATTAAGCCATGGCTTATGTGTGTTCTGTTGTGTCAGTAATTTCATATCCTCTTAAGAGCTTGTCGATCTTCTTACAAGGGTTTGATGTGAACAACGTCAGGGTAGAAGCTGATGTAAAATATGCATTACACAGCCAAGTCATGCACAGTGAAATGGGTAAACCCACATGCATATGGCCTGTGGGCGCCTCCTCACTGGTTAAATGTTATTTTTGTCAGGTCTCTCATGGTACTTATATACATGATCAGTTTTGTTCACCTACTTGTGGCTTTTCACTGAAAGTGCATTGAAAAAAATGCAAATACTACCATAATAAGCTGAAGATAGGAAAACTGCATCAGAGATAATTTTTAAAAAATGTTATTGAAGTACATTGTGAGCAGAATAGCATCAAGTTCAACTCTCAAAGCAGCTTTTGTCCTTAGGAAAAAATCCTTTCCAGAGGAAAATTTTGTATTGGCCAGCACTAGCTCTGATGCAGATGGGGCACCTAATTCCTTTGTGAAGGAGACATTGTAGGCATGTAAAAAGGAGAAGATGCAGATGTTTCCTTGTTCAGAGCCTCTTCTCAGTTAATGCCATACTATGCACCATGTGTGCACCGTGCCATGTGGATCCTGCAGTTCTAAGAAAGGCTTTCTTTTATACATACACTGCAGCATTCCAGAGCTCTGGCAACACAAATCCCCATCCCAACCTTTCTCCTTTTCTAGTGCTTGGCCCGTGCCAGATCCATAAGTATCTTAGGAATTAAGTTTTACAGACTAATTTCCTTGCTGCTTGTTTTCTCATGTAAGATGTCTTTCTTTTCCTGCATGAGTTGCATTTATTTGATGTTAGATAAAAGGTACA